AGGTGTGTGGAGACACATAATGTGTAGGCTACAATATGAGGAGGAAATTATAGTCCTAAAAATGCTTTTCAGTTTCACTGACTCACCCAATGATGCGCAGCTCACTCGCTGGTAATTGTCGATGCGCTCGTGCCAATATTTGGAAGTTGATCAAATATTTTGGTAGCCTACAGCATAGTCTTCTCTTTTCAGCAAGAGACATTTGCTCTCTCTCTCTCTCTCTGTCTCTCTCTCGCTCTCTCTCTCTCTCTCTCTCTCTCTATAGCAAACTAATGACATTTCTGCCTTGGAAGAGTGTCATGAAATGAAATGATGAATAGCGGTCCCATCTCACACAGTGCCTCTCAAACAATCTGTCCCCAAAGGTAGTGTACCTGTCACGCCCTGGCTCTGGGGACACTTGTATGTTGAGCCAGGGTGTGCATTTCATTTGTTAATCTAGTATGTGTATTTCTATGTTGGCCTGAGTGGCTCCCAATCAGAGGCAACGAGTGTCAGCTGTCGTTGGTTGTCTCTGATTGGGAGCCATATTTAAACTGTCTGTTTCCCATTTGGTTTTGTGGGATCTTGTTTCAAGTCTGTTTAGGCTAGACCGTGAACTGTCACGTATCGTTTGTTGTTTTGATCGTGTGATCATCTAATAAAAGATTATGTTTGCCTGCAACGCTGCGCCTTGGTCCTCATCTATGGTAGACGACCGTGACAGAAGATCCCACCAGAACTGGACCAAGCAGCCTAGTGAGGAGCAGAGTGGGTGGACCTGGGAACAATGGAGGAAGAGCTTCGACTGGGTCAAGCCGAATGAGGAGCTGAATGGCGGAGATTGGAAGCAGAAGAGCGAGAGTTGGGCGAGAATTATAGAGGCCTGGCCCACGGGGAAGAGAGACTCCCAGAAATTTTTTAGGGGTGGGCTCATGACGTCGGGGCAGCAGGAGGCCGCGATAGAGCGGCCCAGCGGGTTGCCAGAGGAGGCCGCCAGGTTACGGGGGCCACTGGTCGAAGAGGGGATGGAGGATGTAGAGGCACGGCGAGAGGTACTGGCGTGTGTTGCCAGTCCGGTCCGGCCTGTTCCTGATCCCCACGTAGGGCCAGTGGTGTGTGTTCCCAGTACGGTCCGGCCTGTTCCTGCCACTCGCACCAAGTCAGTGGTGCGTTTCGTCAGCCCGGCGCGGCCCGTTCCTGCTCCCCGCACCAAGTCAGTGGTGCGCTTCGTCAGCCCGGTCCGGCCCATTCCTGCTCCCCGCACCAAGTCAGTGGTGCGTTTCGTCAGCCCAGCTCGGCCCGTTCCTGCTCCCCGCACCAAGTCAGTGGTGCGCTTCGTCAGCCCGGCGCGGCCCGTTCCTGCTCCCTGCACCAAGTCAGTGGTGCGCTTCGTCAGCCCGGCGCGGCCCGTTTCTGCTCCCCGCACCAAGTCAGTGGTGCGCTTCGTCAGCCCGGTCCGGCCCGCTCCTGGTCCCCGCACCAAGTCAGTGGTGCGTTTCGTCAGCCCGGCGCGGCCCGCTCCTGCTCCCCACACCAAGCCAGTGGTGTGCGTCGTCAGTCCGGCACGGCCCGTGCCTGTTCCACCGGTGGCTGGTCCGGCACCGGGCAGATGCTTCACGCCGGAGCGAGAGCGATCCGCTCCACCAGTGTGCAGTCCAGCTCCGGCCAGCGGGGCCAGACCGGACCAGGGGTACTTTGGGGGGTTGGAGAGGGAGCGGGGATCAGGCCCGGAGCCGGATCCGCCGCCTAAGCGGAGTGCCCACCCGGTCCCTCCCCTGTGGTGTTTGGTGGGCGCGGTCGGAGTCCGCGCCTTTAGGGGGGGGTACTGTCACGCCCTGGCTCTGGGGACACTTGTATGTTGAGCCAGGGTGTGCATTTCATTTGTTAATCTAGTATGTGTATTTCTATGTTGGCCTGAGTGGCTCCCAATCAGAGGCAACGAGTGTCAGCTGTCGTTGGTTGTCTCTGATTGGGAGCCATATTTAAACTGTCTGTTTCCCATTTGGTTTTGTGGGATCTTGTTTCAAGTCTGTTTAGGCTAGACCGTGAACTGTCACGTATCGTTTGTTGTTTTGATCGTGTGATCATCTAATAAAAGATTATGTTTGCCTGCAACGCTGCGCCTTGGTCCTCATCTATGGTAGACGACCGTGACAGTACCGTCTGTCTCAGAATACTACAACTGCTTTAATAATCTCTGAAGGAGGCTGTCAGAAAGAGAGAGAGAGAGAAACAGAGGAAGACAAAGAGAGGGAGAGAAAGAGAGAGAAGCAGAGAGAGAGAAACAGAGGGAGAGAAAGAGAGGGAGAGAGAAAGAGAAGAGAGAGGAGGAAAGAGGGAAAGAAAACGAGAGAGGAAGAGAAAGAAACAGAAGGAGAGAGAAAGAGAGAGAAACAGAGAGAGAGAAACAGAGGAGAGAAAGAGAGGAGAGAAAGTGCAAGAGAGAGAAGGTAAGGGCACCTCAGTGTGAATGAATGAGACATCACTATTAATCACCATAGGGCTCTGGAAAAAGCAGTACACTATATAGGGAAAAGGGTGCCATTTGGGACAAAACCATAGATAGAAAGGCAGGCAGATGATGACCCTGTACTGTTAGTGGAGGTTACTGGGACTGTACTGCTAGTGGAGGTTAATGGGACTGTACTGCTAGTGGAGGTTAATGGGACTGTACTGTTAGTGGAGGTTACTGGGACTGTACTGTTAGAGGAGGTTACTGGGACTGTACTGTTAGTGAGAGGTTATACTGGGACTGTACTGTTAGTGAGGTAATGGGACTGTACTGCTAGTGGAGGTACGGGACTGTACTGTTATGGGATGTTACTGGAATGGGACTGTACTGTTAGTGGAGGTTACTGGGACTGTACTGTTAGTGGAGGTTACTGGGACTGTACTGTTAGTGGAGGTTACTGGGACTGTACTGCTAGTGGAGGTTACTGGGACTGTACTGTGGAGGTTACTGGGACTGTACTGCTAGTGGAGGTTACTGGGACTGTACTGCTAGTGGAGGTTACTGGGACTGTACTGCTAGTGGAGGTTACTGGGACTGTACTGCTAGTGGAGGTTACTGGGACTCACAAGATGAATTGGATCATCTGGAGGTGTTTACTATCTGTCTCAGCTTAGGTACTTTACTGTTGAAATACAGCAATGAAAAACCCTACAACTAGCCTAGATAACATCTTTCAAAAGATAATGAAAAACTGATTGATCAACATAAAATAATCTGCATTTTATTCAGACAAATGCAATGTAATTAAGGGTGTATATCAAGGATCATCAACTAGATTCAGCCGCGGGCTGATTTTTTCTTGAGAGATGGTCAATGGGCCGGAACATAATTACAAATAATTTGTAGATTGCAAATTGACCACAAGAATCCCAAACAGATATAATATTTGACTAAAACGTAATCATTTCAAACCTTGCTTACATTTGTATACGATCACATATCTCTCTCTATTATGCGTGGGAATACTTTAGAACAGATTTCCAAATTTAAAATAACTTGGAGCTGATATGCTAGTGTTTTCACAGTCTTTTATGTCCAAAAGTTCCCTGTAGCTCAGTTGGTAGAGCATGGCGTTTGCAACGCTAGGGTTGTGGGTTCGTTTCCCAAGGGGGGCCAGTATGAAAATGTATGCACTCACTAACTGTAAGTCGCTCTGGATAAGAGCGTCTGCTAAATGACTAAAATGTAAATGTAAACAATAAAAACATTTGGGGGGCCAAATAAAATCCCCCTGCCAGATGGGGAACCCTGGTGTATATGAGATCAACAAAGTTCTAGTGGCTGTGAGTAGGCTTCCTTTCCATATACTGCTCCTTACCCAGATAAAAGACTAGATTACAGGCATATGCATGTTATGACGAGAGTTTCCACAACCAATGGCCAGCCATGTCGATAAGGCACAACGTATGACCTGAAACACAGGCACACAGACAGTCATGCTTGGGTGAATTGGCTCCTCAACGCCCACTGGTGGGAGGATTATGTGCCCAGTGCTCAATAAAACTACTGCTATCCACCTATGGCACAGGTCAAACTAGTTCCATTCTATTTCTATGGGCTGAATGTCTGCAGGTTTATTCTCCTCGTTTGTACTTGATTGATCGATTAAGGTCACTGATTAGTTAGGAACTCCCCTCACATGGTTGTTTAGGTCTTAATTGGTTAGATAGGAACTCCCCTCACCTGGTTGTCTAAGTCTTAATTGGTTAGTTAGGAACTCCCCTCACCTGGTTGTTTAGGTCTTAATTGGTTAGTTAGGAACTCCCCTCACCTGGTTGTCTAGGTCTTAATTGGTTAGTTAGGAACTCCCCTCACCTGGTTGTCTAGGTCTTAATTGGACACAAGTTGAAAGGAAATAACATAAACCAGCTGACACTCGGCCATGGAATGAGTGACACCGCTGACCCCAAACAAGCCTCGTCTCGTGGGACCATCCTTCCAAATCTCGTCTCATTGACTCGACTGTTGGAACATCGTGAGCGAAGCCTGGGTGTCCGAGGCTACACTATCCCAAACATCTAAAACTGACACATTGTGGAAGAGGACAACTAATATGAAACTCTCCCAAGTTACACAGGCTCCATAGAGCACTCAAATTCCTCATCTCAAACTCAAAGACCAAATCCTCCAATACAAAGGGATGGATACTCTTGATGTCACTGTTAGAAGCTGCCGTAAGAGCCGTGTCATATTTCAGCTTTGTAGTGCAGAGCTAGTGGAAAGTAAGGTGGAATTAAATCCAGTAGGAAAGTTGCAACCCCAGCATACTAACTGAAGGCTGAATATTTTCTGGAAATGTGCTATCTCGCTAAAGTAGCTGGCCTTGCCCTCTCCTCACACTGTCATTTAATCTAAAGAGAGAAAAGCCCACAGCATGTTGATTACTTACTCGAAATGTTGCAGGAATTTCCCCTGGAGGGATATTGAAGTTCAATTGAACTGAATTGACTGTAGTCCACCAGGAGTCCATCCTGGCCACCTCTAACTGATTAGGACTAAATTACACCAACTCAAAAAGAAAAGTTGCATCAACTCAAAACCAAAACCAAAGAAGCAGCAGAAAACATGGTTGGAAGAGTGGTCCACTTGTATTTTTCATTGTTGTTGTTTTTCTTCATACTACTTTTGAATGTTGCAGGAGGGACTATTTAAGACATTGACATCAACAATTGACATCAACGGTAGTCATGCTTCCTACACTGTAGTGTTAGTAATCTAGTTTACCTAGGAAGGTCTGTCTGTCTGGTGAAACAGATTGAGGTTATTCATTATGCAGTAGTTGGGTTGTGAAGTAGTAGTAGTCCAATGATAAGTCCTCGCTCTTCCAGAGAAGTTAAGTGTTTCTGTCAAGTTGTCTCAATTGCTGCTGCTGCTGTCAGTGGAGATGGAGGTTAGTGATCTATCTTTCCCTCCCTTTCACCCTCTTTCTTCTTCATCTCATCTTTGAAGAACAGTAGAGGGAACATCCCCAAGATGCAGCCGATGGCAACTCCGATGGCTTTACCCTGAAGCCAAAACAAAACAAGAGACAACATTACATTACTACTCTGATGCCTAATATTAATACCAATATGCAGTGCTACAAGTATGTAACCTGCACAGAACTCTTGGCCAATAAAAACCGGAGAGACTCTGTGAAGGAAAGTTAAAGGTTTTTATTAGCCTGACTGCTGGATTCAGAAAAAATACTGTCTTCAGTCAAATGGTTGCACAACCAATAGCATAGTCTGTAGGCCACTTCTGACTGACTTAGGGCTCTATTCAATCAGATCTGCTTTAGCCGACATCTGCATACAGACATACATACAGACAGAGAGGCAGACAGACAGACAGACAGACAGACAGACAGACAGGCAGGCAGACAGATAGACAGGCAGACAGACAGACAGACAGACAGGCAGGCAGGCAGGCAGGCAGGCAGGCAGGCAGGCAGACAGGCAGCAGGCAGGCAGGCAGGCAGACAGGCAGGCAGGCAGGCAGACAGGCAAACAGACAGACAGATACTCACAGTGTGGGTGCTAACTCTCGTCTGCCACATGTCAGCCTGTTTGGGGTTCAGGTCTGGACCCACCAGCCCACAACGACAGGCTAGGGCTTCCACGTAACCTGCAAGGCTAACACAGGAAAATACTATGGTTACATACCTTAATGCAATTGTTGTACTCTTTTAATTTATATTCATCTACTTATTGTCTATTGATTAGCTTTGCTATTTTACATTATTCTGCACTGTTGAGGAAGTGCGGCAAGTAAGCATTTGACTGTCTCGTTTACACCTGTTGTAACCTGTGCACGTGATGAATAAACTTGATTTGATTTGAATCAAAAAGTATCTAAGAGTAGGAGTTCTGGTCTAGGTTCAGCTCCGCCCCTCTTTATGATCTAAAAGGCAAAACTGATCCTAGATCATCACTCCTACAGTGAAATTTATGAATACAGGTCCTGATCTTTAAGGGGTCACCAGCGGAAAGATCCCATTCATTGCAGGAGTGATAGGGTAACACAAAATTACCATAATACGAATCATGGAAATATCAAACTCAACCAGTAATACGCACAGCAGCAAACCTCTGACACAGACATCTGTGCATAGAATCATAAAAATATATATATATATTTTTTTTTTACCAACAACATTAATCAAAACACATGCTGCTATTCAACACAAGCTCTTCTCTGTCCTGGCACCCCAATGGTGGAATGAGCTTCCCCCTGAAGCTAGGACAGGCCCATCTTTCCGAAAACATCTCAAACCCTACCTCTTCAAAGACTATCTTAAATAAGACATCTTGGTCTTCACCCCTCCATAAAAAAAACTAACAAAAATATAAAAATTGTAATTCTCTTTTCCTACTAACACTGACTTTGCTGACTAACTTCTTTATCGAGGAAAAATGTACTTACTATTACTGTGATATGTGGTTTTCTCACCTCGCTGTCTTAAGATGAACGCACTGACTGTAAGCCGCCCTGGATAAGAGCGTCTGCTAAATGACTCAAAATGTAAAATGTCAAATGTATTTAGTGAGGACGCTCGGTGAGGGGCATGTGTTGCCTGATGATGAAACTATGATTCAATGGAAAACAAATTCTCATATTGTGCACCATAATTTCTTCCAATTGAATGTATTTTTTGTTCGCCTTGATCAAACCCAGGCACTAAAATAGCCCATAAATAAAGTGTTGTGCTTATCGTAGCGTTCTGCTCCTAGGGGAGCTATATTTCATAGCCTGTCAGGGCCAGTGCTTAATCTGATGGATTAAAGCCACCTCAGATGCAATGCCCACTGGCCGCCAGCCTTTAGGTTGAGTACAGACGTCCCTGGAACATGGACTGCATCTGTCATTTTATTTTTTTCAACTAGGCAAGTCAGTTAAGAACAAATTCTTATTTACAATGACGGCCTACACCGGCCAAACCCGGACGACGCTAGGCCAATTGTGTGCCGCCCTATGGGACTCCCAATCACGGCCGGTTGTGATACAGCCTGGAATCGAACCAGGGGGTCTGTAGTGACGCCTCAAGCACTGAGATGCAGTGCCTTAGACCGCTGAACCACTCGGGAGCCCGTAACACCCTATTCCCTATGTAGTGCACTACTTTTGACCAGAGCACTATGGGCCCTGGTCAAAAGTAGTGCACTATATAGGGAATACAGGGTACAATTTTAGACGTAGCCATGGGCTGCATTTGAAATGCCATCCTATTCCCTATATAGTGCACTACATTTGAAATGCCATCTCCATTATGATGCCACTTGAGTGCCAGACAGAACAGTTAACTCCATTATGATGCCAACTGAGTGCCAGACAGAGAAGTTAACTCCATTATGATGCCACTTGAGTGACAGACAGAGCAGTTAACTCCATTATGATGCCAACTGAGTGCCAGACAGAGAAGTTAACTCCATTATGATGCCACTTGAGTGCCAGACAGAGCAGTTAAATCCATTATGATGCCAACTGAGTGCCAGACAGAGAAGTTAACTCCATTATGATGCCACTTGAGTGCCAGACAAAGCAGTTAACTCCATTATGATGCCAACTGAGTGCCAGACAGAGAAGTTAACTCCATTATGATGCCACTTGAGTGCCAGACAGAGCAGTTAACTCCATTATGATGTCACTTGAGTGCCAGACAGAGCAGTTAACTCCATTATGATGCCAACTGAGTGCCAGACAGAGAAGTTAACTCCATTATGATGCCAACTGAGTGCCAGACAGATAAGTTAACTCCATTATGATGCCACTTGAGTTCCAGACAGAGCAGTTAACTCCATTATGATGCCAACTGAGTGCCAGACAGAGCAGTTAACTACATAATGATGCCAACTGAGTGCCAGACAGATAAGTTAACTCCATTATGATGCCAACTGAGTGCCAGACAGAGAAGTTAACTCCATTATGATGCCAACTGAGTGCCAGACAGAGAAGTTAACTCCATTATGATGCCAACTGAGTGCCAGACAGAACAGTTAACTCCATTATGATGCCAACTGAGTGCCAGACAGAGCAGTTAACTCCATTATGATGCCACTTGAGTGCCAGACAGAGCAGTTAACTCCATTATGATGCCAACTGAGTGCCAGGCAGAGCAGTTAACTCCATTATGATGCCAACTGAGTGCCAGACAGAGAAGTTAACTCCATTATGATGCCACTTGAGTGCCAGACAGAGAAGTTAACTCCATTATGATGCCAACTGAGTGCCAGACAGAGAAGTTAACTCCATTATGATACCAACTGAGTGCCAGACAGCGAAGTTAACTCCATTTTGATGCCACTTGAGTGCCAGACAGAGCAGTTAACTCCATTATGATGCCAACTGAGTGCCAGACAGAGCAGTTAACTCCATTATGATGCCAACTGAGTGCCAGACAGAGCAGTTAACTCCATTATGATGCCAACTGAGTGCCAGACAGAGCAGTTAACTCCATTATGATGCCAACTGAGTGCCAGACAGAGACGTTAACTCCATTATGATGCCAACTGAGTGCCAGACAGAGCAGTTAACTCCATTATGATGCCACTTGAGTGCCAGACAGAGCAGTTAACTCCATTATGATGCCAACTGAGTGCCAGACAGAGCAGTTAACTCCATTATGATGCCAACTGAGTGACAGACAGAGCAGTTAACTCCATTATGATGCCAACTGAGTGCCAGACAGAGTAGTTAACTCCATTATGATGCCACTTGAGTGCCAGACAGAGAAGTTAACTCCATTATGATGCCACTTGAGTGCCAGACAGAGCAGTTAACTCCATTATGATGCCAACTGAGTGCCAGACAGAGCAGTTAACTCCATTATGATGCCAACTGAGTGCCAGACAGAGACATTAACTCCATTATGATGCCACTTGAGTGCCAGACATAGCAGTTAACTCCATTATGATGCCAACTGAGTGCCAGACAGAGAAGTTAACCCCATTATGATGCCAACTGAGTGCCAGACAGAGAAGTTAACTCCATTATGATGCCACTTGAGTGCCAGACAGAGCAGTTAACTCTATTATGATGCCAACTGAGTGCCAGACAGAGCAGTTAACTCCATTATGATGCCAACTGAGTGCCAGACAGAGCAGTTAACTCTATTATGATGCCAACTGAGTGCCAGACAGAGTAGTTAACTCCATTATGATGCCACTTGAGTGCCAGACAGAGAAGTTAACTCCATTATGATGCCACTTGAGTGCCAGACAGAGCAGTTAACTCCATTATGATGCCAACTGAGTGCCAGACAGAGCAGTTAACTCCATTATGATGCCAACTGAGTGCCAGACAGAGACATTAACTCCATTATGATGCCACTTGAGTGCCAGACATAGCAGTTAACTCCATTATGATGCCAACTGAGTGCCAGACAGAGAAGTTAACCCCATTATGATGCCAACTGAGTGCCAGACAGAGAAGTTAACTCCATTATGATGCCACTTGAGTGCCAGACAGAGCAGTTAACTCTATTATGATGCCAACTGAGTGCCAGACAGAGCAGTGGCACAGATGGCTCAGGAACATGAGAAGCATCCTGAAATTACACTACTCCCTATAAAGTGGTCAAAAGTAAGTAAGTAAGTCTTGTCTGACCCAGAATGGCTCATAGAGGCAACATTTCAGACCCAGCTGTCTGTCTGTACCACTTGGGATGAAGCCATGGGAATGTACTCCCACATTGGCCAATTCAGTCTGGTCCCAACCAATCATAGAGAACCAATAGAGAAGTGTCCCTATGAGGGATCATCACTGATAGGTCTACAGCCTAGAGCAGGAGTCGGCAATAGGAGGCCTGCAGGCAAAAACCAGCCCGTGAGTGATTTATTTGGGCCCCACAAAGTTTTAGTAAAACAAATTTAAAAAGAGACGTCATCGTGTCTCAATGTAATCAAGGTAAGAAATTATTGTTATTTCAAATACAATCTCTTTTTTGAGTTGTGGTCAATTTGCAGCGTACAAATTATTATAACTATGTTACAAAAATCGTCCAGCGGCTGAATCTAGTTGCCTACCCCTGGACTACAGCAACTCAATCATCCACAGGCTGGATGCACAGTCAGGGAGAGGGACCAAATTATCTGTTTAAATTCAGTCAGGGGAATGTCTTCACTCCAGCAGAACCAATAGAAACCAATACCCCACAGGTCACTGCAGATACACCGGGATAAACTAACAAGCACCACTGTGCTCTGCTGAGCAAACAGCTTCCCTGACAGCAGATGATGATGATAGCATAATGGTTGTGATACAGTGAGTAGGCCTAGTACACAGGCTTAATGAGATGGTTTGATCATTAGACAGTTAGACACAGTGGGAGATATATGCTCCTCATTACTGTATGAACTGATTCTAGTGGAGAAAGAAAGGATTTGTAAAGACCACCCTTTGTCAGGTAAGACAATAAATGAGCATAATCTGACAGAATGGCATAATTCGCCAGATGTCAGTTAGACAACTATTACATAGATCGACATCTACATTACGTACATGATAGACATACAGTGATAATCTGACAGAAATGACTATTTGTTAGGTGTAAGATTACTTGATTACATAGACCATTATGGACACAATGTAAACCAACATACAGTATGTTGGGAGAGATGCTGCTATAACGGGGAATGACGCTCTAGTGTGTTAACCTCATTGCCAGTAGAGGGAAGAGCTGAGTAGGTGTTACCTGGCTAAACACTGGGGGCAGAGCTGAGTAGGTGTTACCTGGCTAAACACTGGGGGCAGAGCTGAGTAGGTGTTACCTGGCTAAACACTGGGGACAGAGCTGAGTAGGTGTTACCTGGCTAAACACTGGGGACAGAGCTGAGTAGGTGTTACCTGGCTAAACACTGGGGGCAGAGCTGAGTAGGTGTTACCTGGCTAAACACTGGGGACAGTGCTGAGTAGGTGTTACCTGGCTAAACACTGGGGGCAGAGCTGAGTAGGTGTTACCTGGCTAAACACTGGGGACAGTGAGGAGTAGGTGTTACCTGGCTAAACACTGGAGACAGAGCTGAGTAGGTGTTACCTGGCTAAACACCGGGGACAGCGCTGAGTAAATGTTACCTGGCTAAACACTGGGGACAGTGAGGAGTAGGTGTTACCTGGCTAAACACTGGGGGAAGAGCTGAGTAGGTGTTACCTGGCTAAACACTGAGGAAAGAGCTGAGTAGGTGTTACCTGGCTAAACACTGGGGACAGAGCTGAGTAGGTGTTACCTGGCTAACCACTGGGGACAGAGCTGAGTAGGTGTTACCTGGCTAAACACTGGGGACAGAGCTGAGTAGGTGTTACCTGGCTAAACACTGGGGACAGTGCTGAGTAGGTGTTACCTGGCTAAACACTGGGGACAGAGCTGAGTAGGTGTTACCTGGCTAACCACTGGGGACTGAGCTGAGTAGGTGTTACCTGGCTAAACACTGGGGACAGAGCTGAGTAGGTGTTACCTGGCTAACCACTGGGGACAGAGATGAGTAGGTGTTACCTGGCTAAACACTGGGAACAGAGCTGAGTAGGTGTTACCTGGCTAACCACTGGGGACAGAGCTGAGTAGGTGTTACCTGGCTAAACACTGGGGATAGAGCTGAGTAGGTGTTACCTGGCTAAACACTGAGGACAGAGCTGAGTAGGTGTTACCTGGCTAAACACTGGGGACAGAGCTGAGTAGGTGTTACCTGGCTAAACACTGGGGACAGAGCTGAGTAGGTGTTACCTGGCTAAACACTGGGGACAGAGCTGAGTAGGTGTTACCTGGCTAAACACTGGGGACAGAGCTGAGTATGTGTTCCCTGGCTAAACACTGGGGACAGTGAGGCCAAGCTGTAAGACAGAGTGACCTCTTCATGTTCTACTGGTCAACTTCTTCAAATGTGTCAACATCCAAAACAGTAGAAACATACAGTAAACCTAGGTCTGCCACCAAAATGATGAAATGTACTGAAATGTACCTGAGGGTAACTTTAAATGTTTAACTGAATGATGAGATGTTCATAGTGTGCAAACCAAGCTAACAAAGGAGATGCTGGAGCCACAGCTCAAACCAAGCTAACAGTAGATAGGCTGGAGCCACAGCTCAAACCAAGCTAACAGAGGAGATGCTGGAGCCACAGCTCAAACCAAGCTAACAGATGAGATGCTGGAGCCACAGCTCAAACCAAGCTAACAGAAGAGATACTGGAGCCACAGCTCAAACCAAGCTTACAGAGGAGACGCTGGAGCCACAGCTCAAGCCAAGCTAACAGAGGAGATGCTGGAGACACAGCTCAAGCCAAGCTAACAGAGGAGATACTGGAGCCACGGCCACAGCCACAGCAGCTGACTGCTGTTAAAATGATTCATACATCAAATTACAGACTTCAGAAAGAGACAGCAGCAGATTATATGACATCTGGGAAATCAAACATCCTCTCTGGCACAGTCATAGAAAAAGGACTGCAGAGAATACAAAAAAAAACAGTTATTCTATAATCCACATAATGCTGACAACAAGGCCAATTGGAAACATTTAGTTACAGTAGCTTAGCTCTAGGCTGGTCCCAGATCTGCTCTAGCCTGGTCCCAGATCTGCTCTAGCCTGGTCCCAGATCTGCTCTAGCCTGGTCCCAGATCTGCTCTAGCCTGGTCCCAGATCTGTTCTAGCCTGGTCCCAGATCTGTTCTAGCCTGGTCCCAGATCTGCTCTAGCCTGGTCCCAGATCTGCTCTAGCCTGGTCCCAGATCTGTTCTAGCCTGGTCCCAGATCTGCTCTAGCCTGGTCCCAGATCTGCTCTAGCCTGGTCCCAGATCTGCTCTAGCCTGGTCCCAGATCTGCTCTAGCCTGGTCCCAGATCTGTTCTAGCCTGGTCCCAGATCAGTTTGTGCTATTGCTAACTTTATCGCTGTCCTTGTAAAACAGGGACAATGACAGGACATTAGCTCAAGCACTCAGTCTAACAGTTTCTGTTACAGTGGTTTTAACATTAGTCTGTGATGATGTTGGAGGCTCTTGCACTGAGACAGTGACAATAAATGACAGTTTAAACCAGATGGTGTAAAAGATCTATGGAGGAATAGCTAAGCAAAACACTCGAGAAATGCCCCCAGACATTTGGGTATCCCCCCGGGCAGCTCACCAAAAAGCCTACCCAGGCCTTTTTTTCCCAAGAATGACACTTCGTCTGATGGGGTTTTGGGATGGAAAAAATGGGAAGACTGACACTTTAAAATCAAGGTCCTGGGTGTAAATGGTCAGACTGACACTTCATCTAAAAGGTCCTGGTATGGAAATGGGGCAAGACTGAAATTCAAGGGCTAAAAGGTCCTGGTATGGAAATGGGCAAACGACACTTCAGAGTCTAATGGTCCTGGTATGGAAACTGGTCAAGATTGACACTTCAGAGTCTAACGGTCCTGGTATGGAAACTGGTCAAGACTGACACTTCAGTCTAATGGTCCTGGTATGGAAACTGGTCAAGACTGACACTTCAGTCTAATGGTCCTGGTATGGAAACTGGTCAAGACTGACACTTCAGTCTAACGGTCCTGGTATGGAAACTGGTCAAGACTGACACTTCAGTCTAATGGTCCTGGTATGGAAACTGGTCAAGACTGACACTTCAGAGTCTAATGGTCCTGGTATGGAAACTGTCAAGACTGACACTTGCAGTCAACGCTCCGGTATGGAAACTGGTCAGACTACACTCAGAGCTACGGTCCTGTTTGCCAAGACTGACACTTCAGTTAGGTCTGGTATGGAAACTGGTCAAGACTGACACTTCAGAGTCTAAGATCCTGGTATGAAACTGGTCAAGACTGACACTTCAGTCTAACGGTCCTGGTATGGAAACTGGTCAAGACTGACACTTCAGAGTCTAACGGTCCTGGTATGGAAACTGGTCAAGACTGACACTTCAGAGTCTAATGATCCTGGTATGGAAACTGGTCAAGACTGACACTTCAGAGTCTAACGGTCCTGGTATGGAAACTGGTCAAGATACTGACACTTCATCTATGGTCTGGTATGGAAACTCGGTCAAGACTCGATACTCCCATTTAGTCTAATGGTCCTGGTATGGAACGGTTCAGATCGACGACTATCAGTCTCGTCCTGGTTGGAGAACTGGTCAAGTCTGACACTCATAGTCTATGTCTCTGGTATGGAAACTGTCAAGACTGACACTTCAGAGCCAACGGTACTGGTATGGACATGGTGCAAGACGACACTGTCAAGTTAATGCACCTGGTAGGACAACTGGTACAAGACTGACACTCAGTCACAGGGCCTGTAATGTGAAACTGTCAAGACTGACACTCAGTCTAATGTCCTGTATGGAACTGGTCAACGACTGACACTTCAGTATGATCCTGAGTACTGAACAACTGGTCCAGACTGACACTTCAGATCAACGGTCCGTGTACAGTGAAACTGACGGTCTTTGACAGGATTACTGAGATGAAAGAACGGGCTCTTCACATAGACTGATGTGACTGTCACAAGTGACGACACAGTGAGAGACGTCAGGTAGAGACATCAGTGGCCTCTCTCCAGTTTCAGCCTGAGGTTTGCTGTTTGCCTGTAAGCTCATTGGGTGCATTCCACGTAGTCTTTTTTTCAGTTGCGCACCGCAAATAATCAGTTCTCACAATGCTTGGAGAAGTCTGGAGAGTTCTCAGAAACCACATTAGTACTGTAGCAATCTTCTGAGATACATACTGCACAGTGAGACTGCAATAGGACGCCACCAGGGACTGTACACAGTGAGACTGCAACAGGACGCCACCAGGGACTGTACACAGTGAGACTGCAACAGGACGCCACCAGGGACTGTACACAGTGAGACTGCAATAGGACGCCACCAGGGACTGTACACAGTGCGACTGCAATAGGACCCCACCAGGGACTGTACACAGTGAGACTGCAACAGGACCCCACCAGGGACTGTACACAGTGAGACTGCAATAGGACCCCACCAGGGACTGTACACAGTGAGACTGCAATAGGACCCCACCAGGGACTGTACACAGTGCGACTGCAATAGGACCCCACCAGGGACTGTATCAGCCCTAACAGACGATTGGTTTGATCAGCTTTTTCTTACCCGAGTCCAGCCAGGTCCGACACAAGGTTCCCCAGGGCAGCAGCTGCAGAGAGAGAAGAGAGGAAGGTCATGGTTCTGCCTTGGTGAAGGACTTGTTGATGATGTCAGAGGTCAGAGGTACTTGTATGCTCCAATGAGATCCATTAAGCACACAAACACGTCATAGAGTTGGCGTTTAATCGTCGTGTGTTGAGTTATTTCTCCCCATGCTCCTGGAGCAAGATAAGGTGTGCGAACCAAACAACCCTCTTTTCACACCTGACTGATTTTAATAGAATTGGGTGCTTTGTAAGAGGTCAGCCATAGAGCAGCCAGCAGGGAGGGAGGGAGGCTGTGTCTCTGACTCATCATTAGACAGCAGGCTGTGTCTCTGACTCATCATTAGACAGCAAGCTGTGTCTCTGACTCATCATTAGACAGCAAGCTGTGTCTCTGACTCATCATTAGACAGCAGGCTGTTTCTCTGACTCATCATTAGACAGCAGGCTGTTTCTCTGACTCATCATTAGACAGCAGGCTGTGTCTCTGACTCATCATTAGACAGCAGGCTGTGTCTCTGACTCATCATTAGACAGCAGGCTGTGTCTCTGACTCATCATTAGACATCAGGCTGTGTCTCTGACTCATCAATAAACAGCAGGCTGTGTCTCTGACTCATCATTAGACAGTAGCTGTGTCTCTGACTCATCATTAGACAGCAGGCTGTGTCTCTGACTCATCATTAGACAGCAGGCTGTGTCTCTGACTCATCATTAGACAGCAGGCTGTGTCTTTGACTCATCATTAAACAGCAGGCTGTGTCTCTGACTCATCATTAGACAGCAGGCTGTGTCTCTGACTCATCATTAGACAGCAGGCTGTGTCTCTGACTCATCATTAGACAGCAGGCTGTGTCTCTGACTCATCATTAGACAGCAGGCTGTGTCTCTGACTCATCATTAGACAGCAGGCTGTGTCTCTGACTCATCATTAGACAGCAGGCTGTGTCACTATTAGACAGAATGAATCTGAACTAATACAGAGAGAAAATCATCGTAAATGAGATGCAACAGAGCTAAATGTGAATTACTGTACAGTTGGTTTGTTAATGGATCTAATGTGCTCTTCGTGCTTGTTTGATGCTGAAAACAGTCTCTGAACACTTCACCTACAAATCAGACCTTGTCAGAGCATGACAGCCTCCCCAGAGACTGAGAGAGACAGAATCAGGATCATGGTCCACAGGGCTGATGTGTTTTACTGTGACTGATGTTGGTCTGAAACAATCAATCATTGGTCATTGACCTGAATGTCATGGCAACGCAGGGTCATTCAGGAGTCATATAGGCTGTGAGGGACAGGGGTCTGTTTAATGTTAACATATCCCCATGTTAATACATCAATCTATGCATTTCTTTATCAAACACAAAATAATCACTGAATGTCAAATTAAAATGGCCCATAACAAAAACGCTGTGTTGAAGATTAAGAACCAAAAAAGGATCTAGAACCTAAAAGTTTATTCGGCTGTCCCAATAGGAGAACCCTTTGAAATACCCTTTTTGGTTCCAGGTAGAAACCTTTTGAGTTCCATGTAGAACCCTTTATACAGAGAGTTCTATATGGAACCCAAAAGAGTTCTACCTGGAACCAAAAATGGTTTGCCTATGGGGACAGCCGAAGAACACTTTTGGAACCCTTTTTCTAAGAGTGCAGTTAGTCTGAATCTAAAACTAATTGTGAAGATAGTCAATCTTTATTAGAGGAGAGAGAGCAGGACCAATGTAATTACAACTGTTTTAAGGTCAGCTGCTTGTAACTTATTGCAGCCCCAGGGTCTTGTCCCAAATGGCACTCTATCCCTTTATAGTACACTACTATTGACCAGGGCCCATAGGGTAGTGCACTACATAAGGAATAGGGTGCTATTTGGGACGCAAGCCAGGCTGTATCAGTACTGTAGCAGAGCTGCTGCAGGTTTTAGGCAGCCCTCCAAAGAGAGAAGGAGAGAATGTGTACTAGACACATTTAACAAGATCAGAGCCTAATTAAAGTCCAAACCAACATCCATCATTTTGAACAATTTGATAGTGAGAAGTACAATAGGTTACATGACCAGCTGGAGTTTAAATATAAAGCCTTCAGGTTGGATTTCACTGATGATTCCACTTCATTTGTCAATAAAAGCTGCAGACATGATTCATAATCCAATTAAGATTCCCCTGTAGACACTCAGAACTCCCCAGAATCTTACTTCAGCAATTTGTTAGTCTGGTGTAGTTTTTGTACGGTATGTAAAGTCCCATTAGAATCTCTTAGATTTCTGTCTAATTGTTAGAAACACAGCAGGCTATTTCAGAAACACAGCAGCGAGGAAATCCGATTACAGACAGACGGCAAAACTAGTGATATTCTCCTCCTTTACCCCTCTGGTACTTTCATAACAGTGGGTGAAGAACCACTGAGTTCAAAGTGAAATTCCATCAAAAGTGTTCTCTCCTTCTTTTCTTCTCTCCTCCTCTCCTCAGATCAGCTGACACATCCACTTCCCTCTCCTCAGATCAGCTGACACATCCACTTCCCCCTCCTCAGATCAGCTGACACATCCACTTCCCCCTCCTCAGATCAGCTGACACATCCATTTCCCCCTCCTCAGATCAGCTGACACATCCACTTCCCCCTCCTCAGATCAGCTGACACATCCACTTCCCCCTCCTCAGATCAGCTGACACATCCACTTCCCCCTCCTCAGATCAGCTGACACATCCATTTCCCTCTCCTCAGATCAGCTGACACATCCACTTCCCCCTCCTCAGATCAGCTGACACATCCATTTCCCTCTCCTCAGATCAGCTGACACATCCATTTCCCTCTCCTCAGATCAGCTGACACATCCACTTCCCCCTCCTCAGATCAGCTGACACATCAATTTCCCCCTCCTCAGATCAGCTGACACATCCATTTCCCTAGACTAGAGGGGGGGTTTCTATTTCCTTGCTGCAACCTCATCAGGCTGCACATATTTGTTCCAGCCCAACATTAACAAACCTGATTCAAACCTGATACCCAAAGAATTGATGATCAGTTGATTATTTGAATCAGGTGTGTAGTACTAGGGCAGAAACAAACATGTGCACCCCTGTGGATCCACAGGACCAGCATTGAGAAACACTGCCGAATTGAAAACACCTTCACAAGAGAGCATCTATCCCTTCCAGCACAGCAGTGAATCATAGTAACAACGTATCAACAGACAATTTGTCCTGCCTGCCACTGCTAGTTACAGTATAGTAGAGCTCTGGACCCTGTTAGTATACTGTAGAGCTCTGGTCCCTGTCTGCTGTTAGTATACTGTAGAGCTCTGGTCCCTGCCTGTTGTTAGTATACTGTAGAGCTCTGGACCCTGCCTGCTGTTAGTATACTGTAGAGCTCTGGACCCTGCCTGCTGTTAGTATACTGTAGAGCTCTGGTCCCTGCCTGTTGTTAGTATACTGTAGAGCTCTGGTCCCTGCCTGTTGTTAGTATACTGTAGAGCTCTGGACCCTGCCTGCTGTTAGTATACTGTAGAGCTCTGGACCCTGCCTGCTGTTAGTATACTGTAGAGCTCTGGTCCCTGCCTGTTGTTAGTATACTGTAGAGCTCTGGTCCCTGTCTGCTGTTAGTATACTGTAGAGCTCTGGACCCTGTTAGTATACTGTAGAGCTCTGGTCCCTGTCTGCTGTTAGTATACTGTAGAGCTCTGGACCCTGCCTGCTGTTAGTATACTGTAGAGCTCTGGACCCTGCCTGCTGTTAGTATACTGTAGAGCTCTGGTCCCTGCCTGTTGTTAGTATACTGTAGAGCTCTGGTCCCTGTCTGCTGTTAGTAAACTGTAGAGCTCTGGTCCCTGCCTGTTGTTAGTATACTGTAGAGCTCTGGTCCCTGCCTGTTGTTAGTATACTGTAGAGCTCTGGACCCTGCCTGCTGTTAGTATACTGTAGAGCTCTGGACCCTGCCTGCTGTTAGTATACTGTAGAGCTCTGGTCCCTGCCTGTTGTTAGTATACTGTAGAGCTCTGGTCCCTGTCTGCTGTTAGTATACTGTAGAGCTCTGGATCCTGTCTGCTGTTAGTATACTGTAGAGCTCTGGACCCTGTTAGTATACTGTAGAGCTCTGGTCCCTGTCTGCTGTTAGTATACTGTAGAGCTCTGGATCCTGTCTGCTGTTAGTATACTGTAGAGCTCTGGTCCCTGTCTGTTGTTAGTATACTGTAGAGCTCTGGACCCTGTCTGCTGTTAGTATACTGTAGAGCTCTGGTCCCTGTCTGCTGTTAGTATACTGTAGAGCTCTGGACCCTGTCTGCTTAGTATACCCCTGTTAGTACTGTAGAGCTCTGGTCCTGTCTGCTGTTAGTATACTGTAGACTCTGGATCCTGTCCTGCTGTTAGTATACTGTAGAGCTCTGGACCCTGTCTGCTGTTAGTATACTGTAGAGCTCTGGTCCCTGTCTGCTGTTAGTATACTGTAGAGCTCTGGATCCTGTCTGCTGTTAGTATACTGTAGAGCTCTGGACCCTGTCTGTTGTTAGTATACTGTAGAGCTCTGGTCCCTGTCTGCTGTTAGTATACTGTAGAGCTCTGGTCCCTGTCTGCTGTTAGTATACTGTAGAGCTCTGGACCCTGTCTGTTGTTAGTATACTGTAGAGCTCTGGACCCTGCCTGTTGTTAGTATACTGTAGAGCTCTGGATCCCGCCTGCTGTTAGTATACTGTAGAGCTCTGGACCCTGCCTGCTGTTAGTATACTGTAGAGCTCTGGACCCTGCCTGCTGTTAGTATACTGTAGAGCTCTGGACCCTGTCTGCTGTTAGTATACTGTAGAGCTCTGGACCCTGCCTGTTGTTAGTATACTGTAGAGCTCTGGTCCCTGCCTGTTGTTAGTATACTGTAGAGCTCTGGTCCCTGCCTGTTGTTAGTATACTGTAGAGCTCTGGACCCTGCCTGTCACTGCTAGTTATAGTAGAGCTCTGGACCCAGCCTGTCACTGCTAGTTATAGTAGAGCTCTGGTCCCTGCCTGTCACTGCTAGTTATAGTAGAGCTCTGGGTCCAGCCTGTCACTGCTAGTTATAGTAGAGCCCTGGCTCATCATCGTGCTCTATAGCTCTCAGACCAGGGGACAAACTCAGAGCATCGTGTCTCAAATGGCACCCTATTCCCTATATCCCTCAAACTCAACTCTGGACCTGGAAGCCAGTTCCACTGCATTTTTTTCATTGTTCTCCTCTAATCAGGGACTGATTTAGACCTGGGACACGAGGGGGGTGCAATTAATTATCAGGTAGAACAGAAAACCAGCAGGCTCCGGACCTCCTCCCAGGGTAAGAGTTGAGTACCCCTGCTATATATGGTGCACTACTTTGACCAGAGCCCTATGGTCATATGTAGTGCACTACATAGGGGATAGGGAGACATTTGGGACGCATCCCAAGGCTTTAATTAGAAACTGAGTGCAGAATTAATTTGGCTATTGCAAAGTTACATTCAGATGGACATTTAATGTATTGCGATAGTTGCTAGTGAAAGTCTACACACCCCTTGGACAGTTCTTCAATTTAGACAAAAAACTATGGATATACGTTTGCGCCAAGAGTTGTGCAAAGATGGTTGAATATTATTAGTCTCCCTTCCCTCCTCCCTCCTCTCCCTCCTCCCCTCCTCTCCTCCTCCACTCCCTCCTCCCTCCCCTCCTCCACTCCTCTCCCCCCCCCCCCTCGCCCACGTCCCCTCCCCTCCCCTCCCCTCCCCCTCCCCTCCCTCCTCCACTCCGTCCACTACCCCTCGGCCTCCCTCCTACTCACTCCCACTCCCTGCCTCCCCTCCTCCTCTCACCCTCCTTCTCCCCACCCCCTCCTCCACCCCTCCCCTCCCCTTCCCTCCCACTCCCTCCCCCCCCTCTCCTCAATCCACTCCCCCTCCTCTCGCCCTCCTCCTCCCTCCTCGTCCTCTCCTCCCCTCTCCTGCCACCTTCCTCTCCTCCTCCTCCACTCCCCTCCTACCCCTCCTCTCGCTCCTCCACTTTCCCCTCCTCTCCCCTCCTCCTCTCCTCTCCCCCCTCCCCTCATGACTCACAGCTGTAATGGCTGCCAAAGGTGCTCCCACCAAGTATGAACTCTGGGGTGTAAAGACATACGCAATCAAGACATCTTCGGGCCATTTTTAAATTCATTTGGAACATTTTCTGTAAATAAATTCACTTTGAAAATGTGGAGTAGGTTGTGTAAGACCATGTAGGTTAAAAAAAATAACGTAAATCCCTTTTTAAAAATGTTTATCTTAAGACTGTGGCAAGGTGGTGTGTAGACTTTCACTAGGCACTGTAAAAATACAAACACAAACATTACAAAACATATTGGCTGCATCCCAAATGGCAACCTATTCCCCATATAGTGAACTACATAGGGAATAAGGTGCCATTTGGGACTCACAAATTATTTCTGGTTTTGACATACCTGCCATGGTTGAAATCCCAAGGATCACACCTATGGACAACTCAATATGTGTGCCCTAAAAACAAAACACACAAACACCATCATCAATTCTCTGTTGTTATTTGTTAAGCCCATGTAGGAACAACCGAACACGTGATCATGTTTATGTAGTATGTGTTTCACGCTGTAATGAAAACCACCACTGAAAGCTAAGCTTTGTATTCAACTTCAACCACTCATTTGTGTCCTTCAGAATAAAAGTCTCTGAATGAGGTTAAATGAGTTAGATACGGATAAAATATTCTGCTAAGTGGCAAACAAATGGATGTCAACGTTTTGAAAAGCTAAAATAGAACTTTACTCTAGTAAATGACAGATACCAGATTCTCACTTCAATGTTAATGAAACAGATGTATCAGGGATCTACCACATTTTACTGCAGAATCTATCTAGCATTACTGTAATTGTATGGATTGAGGGCTACCACAGTGACACACTTCTAAAAATTGATAAAGTGGTGTAACTTACAGCTACAATCATGATGGCATTGTCCAGGAAACCAAATCCTACAAAGGGAATGGCGTTGTGTAGAAGAACTGCCAAAGGAAAGAAACACAAACAACATACCATTTAACAGCCCACACATGTACTGGAACTTGAAGTGAAGAGACACTGTGAACCTCCATGAACATTGGCAGTTACAAACGGGGTAGAAAGTGAGGTCTACATAACTTAGCCTACTGTAGTCAGTCTACTGATGTCTACATAACTTAGCCTACTGTAGCCAGTCTACTGAGGTCTACATAACTTAGCCTACTGTAGTCAGTCCTACTGATGTCTACATAACTTAGCCTACTGTAGCCAGTCCTACTGAGGTCTACATAACCTTAGCCTACTGTAGTCAGTCCTACTGAGGTCTACATAACTTACGCTACAGTAGTCAGTCCTACTGAGGTCTGCATAATTTTCGTACGAGCAGCCCAAATGAGGTTCTAATTTAGCTATTAGCAGTCCTACTGAGGTTACAAAACCCTACCCTACTTAGCAGTCTACTGGGGTTTACATAACGTCGAGTCGCCCTATGAGGTCTAATAATTACCTACGGCAGTCCCCTGGGCCCAAAAATAGCCTACGTAGCCAGCCTACTGGGTTCATAATTTAGTTTACTTAGCCGCCCCTAGGAGGTTCAAATTAGCTACGTAGCAGCCCCTAGGGGGCAAAACTTTTAAAGCATTCCTTTTTTCAAGACTTCCCTTTTTAAAAATCTCCCTAAAAACCCCCTTTCAAAAGACATCTCTCTTTTTTAAACACTCCTTTTTTTCAAAGAATCTCCTCTTTCAGACACTTTTCTTTCAAAGAATCCTTCTTTTAAAAGACACTCTTTTTTTCAAAGAATCTCACTCTTTTAAAAGAATTCCTCTTTTCAACGACTTTCCCTTTTTTTAAAAGAATCTCTTTTTTTTCAAAGACATCTCACTCTTTGTTTTCTTCCTGTCTTACCGTATCTCAGCTGAGCCGATGTAGGAGGGGCGATGACCATTTCCCCTGAAAGAGAAGGAAAAAGACGACCTCCATTACAATAAAGTGTTTCTCTATGGAGAACAAGTCAGTCCTGTCTGGAAGGAAATGTCACCCGGCCATGAAATGACAGGACCTGAGAGTCAGGACTCCTTCACAGAGCAGGGATGGAGCCTGGCAGAGGGACAGAGAGCAGAGGGACAGAGGTTGTCCCAGGCCGACGGGACAGGGATTAGAGGGGGACTGTCGTTGTGTCCCAAATGGCAACCTATCCCTATTAAGTGCACTACTTTTCACCAGGGTCCATAGGGAATAGGGTGCCATTTGGGACTCACATAGCGGAATTACATTGAAATCATGTTCTTAACACATTAAAATACAAATGGCGGGTATTAATCGTATGTGAAATATCCAGTAGGGTAATCAATCAATTTTATTTTATATAGCCCTTCTTACATCAGCTAATATCTCGAAGTGCTGTACAGAAACCCAGCCTAAAACCCCAAACAGCTAGTAATGCAGGTGTAGAAGCACGGTGGCTAGGAAAAAACTCCCTAGAAAGGCGAAAACCTAGGAAGAAACCTAGAGAGGAACCAGGCTATGAGGGGTGGCCAGTCCTCTTCTGGCTGTGCCGGGTGAAGATTATAACAGAACCATGCCAAGATGTTCAAAAATGTTCATAAGTGACAAGCATGGTCAAATAATAATCAGGAATAAATCTCAGTTGGCTTTTCATAGCCGATCATTAAGAGTTGAAAACAGCAGGTCTGGGACAGGTAGGGGTTCCATAACCGCAGGCAGAACAGTTGAAACTGGAATAGCAGCAAGGCCAGGCGGACTGGGGACAGCAAGGAGTCACCACGGCCGGTAGTCCCGACGTATGGTCCTAGGGCTCAGGTCTCTCAGTTGGCTTTTCATAGCCGATCATTAAGAGTTGAAAACAGCAGGTCTGGGACAGGTAGGGTTTTCGTAACCGCAGGCAGAACAGTTGAAACTGGAATAGCAGCAAGGCCAGGCGGACTGGGGACAGCAAGGTGTCATCATGCCCGGTAGTCCTGACGTATGGTCCTAGGGCTCAGGTTCTCAGAGAGAAAAGAGAGAACGAGAGAATTAGAGAGAGCATACTTAAATTCACACAGGACACTGGATAAGACAGGAGAAGTACTCCAGGTATAACCAACTAACCCCAGCCCCCCGACACATAAACTACTGCAGCATAAATACTGGAGGCTGAGACAGGAGCGGTCCGGAGACACTGTGGCCCCATCCGAAGAAAACCCCCGGACAGGGCCAAACAGGAAGGATATAACCCCACCCACTCTGCCAAAGCACAGCCCCCGCACCACTAGAGGGATATCCTCAACCACCAACTTACAATCCTGAGACAAGGCAGAGTATAGCCCACAGAGGTCTCCACCACAGCACAAACCAAGGGGGGGCGCCAACCCAGACAGGAAGATCACGTCAGTAACTCAACCCACTCAAGTGACGCACCCCTCCCAGGGACGGCATGAAAGAGCACCAGCAAGCCAGTGACTCAGCCCCTGCAACAGGGTTAGAGGCAGAGAACCCCAGTGGAGAGGGGAACCGGCCTGGCAGAGACAGCAAGGGCTGTTCGTTGCTCCAGAGCCTTTCCGTTCACCTTCACACTCCTGGGCCAGACTACACTCAATCATATGACCTACTGAAGAGATAAGTCTTCAGTAAAGACTTAAAGGTTGAGACCGAGTCTGCGTCTCTCACATGGGTAGGCAGACTGTTCCATAAAAATGGAGATCTATAGGAGAAAGCCCTGCCTCCCGCTGTTTGCTTAGAAATTCTAGGGACAATTAGGAGGCCTGCGTCTTGTGACCGTAGCGTACGTATTGGTATGTACGGCAGGACCAACTCGGAAAGATAGGTAGGAGCAAGCCCATGTAACGCTTTATAGGTTAACAGTAAAACCTTGAAATCAGCCCTTGCCTTAACAGGAAGCCAGTGTAGGGAAGCTAGCACTGGAGTAATATGATCAAATTTCTTGGTTCTAGTCAGGATTCTAGCAGCCGTATTTAGCACTAACTGAAGTTTATTTAGTGCTTTATCCGGGTAGCCGGAAAATAGAGCATTGCAGTAGTCTAACCTAGAAGTAACAAATGCATGGATTAATTTTTCTGCATCATTTTGGACAGAAAATTTCTGATTTTTGCAATGTTACGTAGATGGAAAAAAGCTGTCCTTGAAACAGTCTTGATATGTTCGTCAAAAGAGAGATCAGGGTCAAGAGTAACGCCGAGGTCCTTCACAGTTTTATTTGAGACGACTTTACAACCATCAAGATGAATTGTCAGATTTAACAGAAGATCTCTTTGTTTCTTGGGACCTAGAACAAGCATCTCTGTTTTGTCCGAGTTTAAAAGTAAAAAGTTTTCAGCCATCCACTTCCTTATGTCTGAAACACAGGCTTCTAGCGAGGGCAATTTTGGGGCTTCACCATGTTTCATTGAAATGTACAGCTGTGTGTCATCCGCATAGCAGTGAAAGTTAACATTATGTTTTCGAATAACATCCCCAAGAGGTAAAATATATAGTGAAAACAATAGTGGTCCTAAAACGGAACCTTGAGGAACACCGAAATGTACAGTTGATTTGTCGGAGGACAGACCATTCACAGAGACAAAACTGATATCTTTCCGACAGGTAAGATCTAAACCAGGCCAGAACTTGTCCGTGTAGACCAATTTGGGTTTCCAGTCTCTCCAAAAGAATGTGGTGATCGATGGTGTCAAAGGCAGCACTAAGGTCTAGTAGCACGAGGACAGATGCAGAGCCTCGGTCTGACGCCATTAAAAGGTCATTACCACCTTCACAAGTGCAGTCTCAGTGCTATGATGGGGTCTAAAACCAGACTGAAGCATTTCGTATACATTGTTTGTCTTCAGAAAGGCAGTGAGTTGCTGCGCAACAGCTTTTTCTAAAATTTTTGAGAGGAATGGAAGATTCGATATAGGCCGATAGTTTTTTTATATTTTCCGGGTCAAGGTTTGGCTTTTTCAAGAGAGGCTTTATCACTGCCACTTTTAGTGAGTTTGGTACACATCCGGTGGATAGAGAGCTGTTTATTATGTTCAACATAGGAGGGCCAAGCACAGGAAGCAGCTCCTTCAGCAGTTTAGTAGGAATAGGATCCAGTATGCAGCTTGAAGGTTTAGAGGCCATGATTATTTTCATCATTGTGTCAAGAGATATAGTACTAAAACACTTAAGTGTCTCTCCCGATCCCAGGCCCTCGCAGAGCTGTGCAGATCCAGGACAGCTAAGCCCTGGAGGAATACGCAGATTCAAAGAGGAGTCCGTAATTTGCTTTCTAATGGTCATGATCTTTTCCTCAAAGAAGTTCATGAATTTATTACTGCTGAAGTGAAAGCCATCCTCTCTTGGGGAATGCTGCTTTTTAGTTAGCTTTGCAACAGTATCAAAAAGAAATTTTGGATTATTCTTATTTTCCTCGATTAAGTTGGAAAAAGTAGGATGATCGAGCAGCAGTGAGGGCTCTTCGGTACTGCACGGTACTGTCTTTCCAAGCTAGTCGGAAGACTTCCAGTTTGGGTGTGGCGCCATTTCCGTTCCAATTTCCTGGAAGCTTGCTTCAAAGCTCGGGTATTTTCTGTATACCAGGGAGCTAGTTTCTTATGACAAATGTTTTTCGTTTTTAGGGGTGCAACTGCATCTAGGGTATTGCGCAAGGTTAAATTGAGTTCCTCAGTTAAGTGGTTAACTGATTTTTGTCCTCTGACGTCCTTGGGTAGGCAGAAGGAGTCTGGAAGGGCATCAAGGAATTTTTGTGTTGTCTGAGAATTTATAGCACGACTTTTGATGCTCCTTGGTTGGGGTCTGAGCAGATTATTTGTTGCGATTGCAAACGTAATAAAATGGTGGTCCGATAGTCCAGGATTTTGTGGAAAAACATTAAGATCTACAACATTTATTCCATGGGACAAAACTAGGTCCAGAGTATGACTGTGGCAGTGAGTAGGTCCAGAGACATGTTGGACAAAACCCACTGAGTCGATGATGGCTCCGAAAGACTTTTGGAGTGGGTCTGTGGACTTCTCCATGTGAATATTAAAATCACCAAAAATTAGAATATGATCTGCTATGACTACAAGGTCTGATAGGAATTCAGGAAAACTCAGAGAGGAACGCTGTATATGGCCCAGGAGGCCTGTAAACAGTAGCTATAAAAAGTGATTGAGTAGGCTGCATAGATTTCATGACTAGAAGCTCAAAAGATGAAAACGCCATTTTTTTTTTTGTAAATTGAAATTTGCTATCGTAAATGTTAGCAACACCTCCGCCTTTGCGGGATGCACGGGGAATATGGTCACTAGTGTAACCAGGAGGTGAGGCCTCATTTAACACAGCAAATTCATCAGGCTTAAGCCATGTTTCAGTCAGGCCAATCACATCAAGATTATGATCAGTGATTAGTTCATTGACTATGACTGCCTTTGAAGTGAGGGATCTAACATTAAGTAACCCTATTTTGAGATGTGAGGTATCACGATCTCTTTCAATAATGGCAGGAATGGAGGAGGTCTTTATCCTAATAAGATTGCTAGGGTGAACACCGCCATGTTTAGTTTTGCCCAACCTAGGTCGAGGCACAGACACAGTCTCAATGGGTATGGCTGAGCTGACTACACTGACTATGCTATTGGCAGACTCCACTAAGCTGGCAGGTTGGCTAACAGCCTGCTGCCTGGCCTGCACCCTATTTCACTGTGGGGCTAGAGGAGTTAGAGCCCTATCTATGTTGGTAGATAAGAGGAGAGCACCCCTCCAGCTAGGATGGAGTCCGTCACTCCTCAGCAGGTCAGGCTTGGTCCTGTTTGTGGGTGAGTCCCAGAAAGAGGGCCAATTATCCACAAATGTTATCTTTTGGGAGGGGCAGAAAAACAGTTTTCAACCAGCGATTGAGTGCTGAGACTCTGCTGTAGAGCTCGTCACTTCCCCTAACTGGGAGGGGGCCAGAGACAATTAATC